AAAAGCTAGGAACCTTTGCAGAATAGAGCCTGAGCCACAGGTAATAAAGATTGCCAAACTGCTACATTTGCAGCCTTTTGCAACAAGCAAACCTGGTCCTCCTGGTTCTGTTACTGTTTTATTATTTGAACCAGGGTCTCACACAGGCAAGGAATACCTTGAGCTTATGATCCTTCTGCGCCCACCACCTAAGTCCCTCGAACACAGACAAGCACCATCATACCTCGTGGTGCGGACTGAACCCAGGACTTTATGTATGCGGGGTGAGCGCTCTACCAACCGAGCTCCATCCCTATCCCCCGTTTGTTTTTTAATTAATTTATGTATCGGGGAAGGAGCAGACATACCGCATGTAGAGGTCAGAGGACAACCCTCAGTAGTCTGTGATCTCCTACTGTGTGGGTCCTGGGGATGGAACTCAGGTTGTCAGAGTTGGTGGCGAGTGCCGTCTCCCCCTCCCCCACCCCCTCATTCTTTGTTAGATGGGTTCTCCCTGTGTAGCTCAGGATGGCCTGGAACTCACTGCAGTTTTCCTGCCCCGGGCCTCCTGAGTGCTAGGATGACGGGCATGCGCCACCATTCCAGGCTCAACCTCCTGAACTTTGCACTACTTGGGCTTCTATCACTTGGCCAGGGCTGGCTTGTAGGGTCATAGTGTGGGGACCCCTAGCCTCTTCCTTTCCCACGTTAGGCAGGGCTCCTACCTGCATATGACTCAGTGGACTTTATGCCTGCTCTTCTGATGACCAGCCTGGCTGCCAGTCCTCTGAGTCAGGCCCTGGCCAGCTGGGAGGGGCAGTCATAGAGATGGGTCAGTACGCCCTCTAGGGCTCCTGGGAAGCCATGCGGCAGAGGGCAAAGAGTAGGCAGCCGGAGAAAGATGGAGCAGTCGGCATGGATATTCTGACCTTCCTGTACTGATGAGAACAGACAAGGGCCCAGGCTGCCTTCCTACTCCTCTGTACATCCTTAGATCACTCTTCCCTTGGGCACTTTTCCTGCGGGAGGGGAGGATATCGTGAGGCTAGCACCTGCTGGAGATCAAATGAGCCACCGGCTGTGTGGCCTTGGGGCCTGTACTGTCACTGGTTAAGAGAAAGAGCGTCACCTCACAATGCAAAGGGAAGACTTGGCCCAGCATTTACGGCCACTGCTCACCTGGTTGGCAGTGCCTACATAAACGCTGTCTATCCCTCTGGGTATTCCCTTTTCCCATCTCCAACCGTGGTGGTTTGAACAGGTATGGCCCCCACAGAGTCATGTGTTTGAATGCTTGCTTCATAAGGAGTGGCACTGTTAGGAGGTGTGGCCTTGTAGGAGGAAGTGTGTCAGGATGGAGGTGGGCTTTGAGGTCTCCGACACTCAAGCTAAGCCCAGTGCGGCACAGTCTCCTTCCGCTGCCTTCGGATCAAGATGTAGAACTGCCAGCCTCATGCTGGGCAAGGTGGGCACGCCTGTAATCCCAGCACTCAGAGATGCAGAGGCAGGCGTATCTCTGTGAGTTCCAGGCCAGCAGAGGTGACACCAAGAAATACTGTCTTGAAAAACCAAAAATTAAAAACAAAACAAAACAAAACAAAAAAAAGTTGCCGTGATCATGGTGTCTCTTCAGAGCAATAAAACCCTAACTAAGACAACAATTGCAGCCTCTGGCCTCTGCCCTAGAGTAAGGACCCGTCATCGTGGAGACATTGACCTCTGTGCCAGAGACCCCAGAGTGGTCAGCCACATAGCAGTTAAGTGGCTCTTCTGATCTGATCTGGGCTTCAGGATGGCCTGTGACAAAGCCCTTGGGAGATAGAGGTCAGTGCCTCACAAATGCTGGTGGAAATGGCCCCGGCCCACAGGTGCAAACCCTTCTCTTGACTCCCATGACCTCAGTGACGTCAAGAGGCCCTAAAGGAAGTGGCTTGTTGAGCTAGGCAGAAGCAGAGCTGGCTTTAGGGGCCACACCTGCCACCTGCCTCTTCTGAGGTCACCAGCTCCTGGTCCTGACATCAGACAGACCTGATGTGAGCTGGAAGGGGCCATGTTGCCTGCCTCACTGAGAATCGTCACCAACCCCTCCTCTGACTTCGGAATGTGACTTTATCTATATCTTTTGTGGTGTTATTTGAACCCCCCCCCCCCCCCGGCAGAAGTGCCTAATCTTATCTGCTAAGTTTTACTCAGCAAGGGACAAAGGCCTGGCTTGAGTTGACCCAGGACAGAAATGATTCAGCCCTGGTCCTGCCCTCCTGAGGTTTGGATAGGGGACCATTACAGAATGAGAAGAGGCTTCCCGGGTAGGACACTGTGGAAACTGAAGACGTCTGGGAAGGGCTTTGGATTTGGCTACTTCTGCAGTCTGGAGGCTCTCTCCCACCTCGTGGCCCAGTCAGTCTTGCAAGCCATTAAGGACGGCTGCGTTCCCGGTGCCAGCTGAGACTTCTTGGGGATTGAGCTCTCCCCACCCCATAAGCTGTTTTGCCCCTTCTGTCTTGAACTTGAGGTTGGGATACAATGAGGACCACAGAGCCTTCTCCAGCCTCTTTCTCTTTCTCCTCTCTGCTCTTTGCTGCAGGCAGAAAGGAAAGGGAACTTGCGCCTCCAGGCTGCTGCCTCCCTGGGCTTTTAGGGCCGCCTGGGGCAAAGGAGGCTGAGGCTGGGTCACCAGATAGCAGGGGCGGGGGTGACTTAGGAGGTCATGAAGCGCCCTGGGGAAGCCAGGGTGACCAGAGCCACTCCAGGTTTTCGTCAAAAGTCTCTGCCTGCAATCACAGCACTTGGGAGGTGGAGGCAAGATCAGAAGGCATCCGAGGTCAGCCTGGGCTACTCGGGACCTTCTCTCAACAAACTAGCCAGGCAGGGGCAGCACACACTTCTCATCCCAGGCATAGGCAGGCGAATCTCTGAGTTCGAGGCCAGCCTCGTCTACAGATCAAGTTCCAGGACAGCCAGAGCTACACAGAGAAACCTTGTCTCTCATAGTGACGTTACCTATAATCCCAGCACCATGGCAGCAGAGGCAGGAAGGTCACTGATTTCAGGTGAACCTAGACTACAGAGACTTTGTCTCAAAAAACCAACTTGCTAACTTGCCAGGGACCTCCCAGACAAAGGAAGACCAGGGACAAGGTCAGTCCATCCCCTGGTGACCACTCTGCTCTCTGTCGCTCCAGTGTGTCCTGTGCAACATACACAGTTCACAAACTTAAAGATGTTTCCATGTGAAATTCTGAATCAGGTCAACAATGCTGACCCTCTCCATCCTCCCCCCGCCCCTGCCTCTGTCTTTAGATGTCCTTCTCTGTCCCCTGGCTCCCATGATGGTCAGGTTCCCATGTGCAGTACCTAAAGACCTGGAAAATATCTCAACTTAAAAAAAGAAGAAAGTGTAACTGTCAAAGGACATGATGTCAGCTTTGCAAACCACAAAACCAAAGGCTCTGAGCTGGGTATGGCGGCACACACTTGTAATTCCAACAACCCTTGGGGCGAGACAGGAGGACTGAGCATGCAAGTCCTCCATAGTGATATGCTGTCTCAAAAACAAAACAGAAACCACTAAAGTACAAAAAAAACAAAAAAAACAAAAAACAAAAAACAAAAACAAAAACAAAAACAAAAAAACCCCGAAAACCTCACAAAACCATAGAAAACCAGTAGCTCACTGGTCTAGAGTGGCAAGACTGAGCCCTGTTTGCCAGACCAGCTTCTCCAGCCTCCTCCATCAGACTGCCCACCTCTGCACAGCCCCTGCGGCTGCAGGATGTAGGGCGAGGGCAAACCCACAGGCACCCAGGACTCCCACTCCTCAGGGAGGCCACAGAAAGAAGGCTCAGCCACTGCCCTGGCCATGGGGTCTGCTGAGCTGCCTGGACAGCCAACAGCTAGTCCTGGAGGACTCGAGGGGACAAGCCCAGAGAGCCAGGCAGCGCCGGGTACAGCACTGAGCTGTCCAAAGAGTCAAAGCAAGCCATAAGGCGAAATAGGGCTCTTCAGAGGAGGGCCTGTGCTCCACAGTCTTCCTAAGGCGAAGCCCGGGATTGGCACCACAGTGACTAGGGTTGGAGAAGAGCTGGTGTTTCCCAACGGACGTCATTTGTCAACTTTCCGTGAGCCCTTCTTGCACGAAGAGTTAGAGCTGAGCTCTTGACTTCTTTATCTCGCTGTTCTGTGACTTAGGGTATCTTACCATGCAGTTAAGGACACAGGCACAGAGAGGGTAAGGGACTTACCCAAAGGCACACAGCTCTAAGAGGCAAAGGCTTGATTTTACTGTTGCCAGTCTAGCTCCAAAGTCCTCATTACCTCTTAGCCAAGTGGTGACACCAACTACTCTCTTAGGATTTGCTATTTCCCCAGGTGGCCTAATTCAGTCCCTGTGACACCCCTCCCCCTAAGTGCCATAAGTTTCTCCTCGATCCTACTGGCTAACTCTGAAAAACTCTGTCTTGGACCCTCTGGGAACCCCCTAGGAGGCTGGAGCTGGATACTTTCGAGGCGTCTCTAAGAGGCAGATCAGCACAGTGGGGGTGTCCCAGAGCAGGGACGTTGCAAGGCCAAGGGTGAGGGCACTTACGTCTGGAAAGGCCCCATCGGCATAGACCATCATCAGCGACGTCTTCCCGCAGCCTCCGTCGCCCACCAGGACCACCTTTACCACCGAGCGCCCGCTGTTCGGCGCCTCCTCTCCCGCAGCCTGGGGCGCGCTCATCCCGGGCTGGCGGACGGCGGTGCGCCGAGCAGCGGGCGGTGCGCGGCGAGCTGGCTGCGGCGGGCGCGGGGCTGGCCCGGCGGGACAGGAATGTGGAAGGGGCGGGGCGGCGGGAGGAAGTGGGAGCGGGGCGGCGGGGGCAGGAGGCGGCCCGGGGGGCGGGGGACACCCGGCCCAGGTGAGAGGCTCCGGCCAGAATCGGGGTGCGGCGGCTTGGCCAGGCGTGGACGCTCCTGGGGTCTGGTCGCCTGAGGTCCTCTCCGGCCACTCAAGGGACACTTTTTTCAGCACCCACTGTGTGCAGTCAGCGAGGCCTCAGGAGTGGGCGGAGACCCATGCCCCCAGAGGGCAACCGGGGCTGGTGAAGAAGAGTCATCAGGTAGTTGGAGAGGGGCTGGGGACGGGAAGAGAGGAAGCCCCTGGCCCGCCTGCCAAGGAAGGGAGGTGATTTTTATGAATGAATGAACGAACGACTGGATGGATGAATGTGAGTTTCTGAGGCTTGGGGACCTAGCAACCCAGACCTCCTCCAGAGGTTGTAGGCCAGGTGAGAAGGGAGTGCCCCGGCATGCCCTCGTAGGTCACGGCAGGACCTCTTCCTGCAGCACCAGGAAGCTTCGATGGAGGTGAATTCCCAAGAGTCTCACCCAAGCAGGCAGTGATCTAGGGAAAACTCTGGAACCTTCCGTCTATAGAGCTCAGAGCAGGCTCTGGCATATGGCTAATGTCATAAATGGTTCTTAGCATAATAGTTTTTTTAATTTTATTTTTTTTGCGTGTGTGAGTGTTTTATCTGCGTGTGTGTCTGTACACCACACACGGGCCTGGTGCCCTCTGCACTCGGAAAGCCCTGGACCTGGAGTTACAGACCTTAGGAGCCACCATGTGGGTGAACCTGGGTCCTCCGGAAGATGAGCTCTTCATCTCCGAGCCATCTCTCCAGCTTCTCGGTATAACGTTTAATGGGCGCGGGTGGGCCTCAGTTTCCGAGCACCTGGGGACCCTGCACTGTTTAAGTCAAAACCTCTACTGTGAGAGGCCTAGAACGAGAGGTAGGCGGGTCGTCAGCGTGAGAACTACCTGCTCAGGGGACAGGAGAAAGGGAAGGGTGTCCTCACCTGGGGCAGGCAAGGAGGATCTTCTGATGGGAGAGTCAGAATCTTGAGGAAAAAGTGACAGGTGTTTCAAAAAGGACCTCGCATAGGCCGGCGTGATGTGGCCCCGCCCCCCACCTTCCTAGCGACGGGACAGAGGGTGGGGCTTGGCTGAGTTGCTGGGATCTGGACGGTGAAGAAGCACTTGGGATTTCAGGAATAAATCTTATTCGTCCTCTCACCTTTCTTTGGGGTCTTTTTTCTTTTTCTTTTTTTTAACTTAGCGGGCATAAATGGGCTGGAAGTGTAGCTGGGTTGCTAGAATGCTTAACTAGCACACAAGAAAGCCTGGGTTCCAGCCCCAGGACCACATAAACTGGACTTGGAGGGGCATACTTGTAATTCCAGGACTGGTGAGGTGAAGACAGAGGATCAGAAGTTCAATGTCAGCTTGGCTATACAGCGAGTTGAAGGCCAGCCTGGACTAAATATCCTGTCTAAAAAAAGGGGGAGAGAAGGGTCTCCCTGTCTCCCCAGACCTTGGGCTGGGTATTTACACGAAGCTAAGTGCAACAAGGTCGGAAATCTTTGGGCTTCACCTCCCACTTCCGACTGGTCATGACGTCAACCCCTATTGTATTCAAAGTCAGGCAGGTGAAAAGGACCTTCAACCCTATTTGATCCGCACTGTATCCCAAGGAGGCAGTTTCAGTTTCCCTTAGGGTGGTGGCCAGAGGTCAGCTGCTTCCTGGGAGCCTCCCCAGCTCCACCTTTTGGATGCCCCTTCCCCGAAACTGCCCCAGGGCTGGGCAGGACTTGGCATGAAGCTGAGCAGGGTGCCCCATCCAAGGAGGGGTGAGGAGGAGCCCTATCCCGCCCCCCACTCCAGTCAGCTGTCAGCCTTGCTGCTGTCATCAGATCAGTCTGGGAGGCAGGTGGAGCCGGACCGAGGGTGGAGGAGACTGAGAGTCAGGCAGAGGCGGTTGGCCTTGGTTGCTATAGAGATAATCACTCTAATGACACCCTTGACAACTGTGCACTTTACAGTTTCTCTGTATACCTCCTAATAATTACAGTGCCGCTGGTGGGTGCTAGCTGCTATGTAGAGACTGTCCACCAGGAGGCAGGGATTGCCAGGTCCATTTTACAGAACAGGAAACTGAGGCCTAGAGAGGGTAACCTCTTGTTTAAATGCTAGTGGTGGGCTGCAGAGATGGCTCAGAGGTCAAGAGCACTGCCGCTCTTCCAGAGGTTCTGCAACCGCATGGTGGCTCATAACCACCTAGAGTGAGATCTGGTGCCCCCTTCTGGTGTGCAGGCACACATGCAGACAGATTAGTGTTAACAGAATAAATAAATCCAAAAACAAAACAACCCCAAAACCAAAACCTGCCAATAGCATGTGGACTTACCTGTCCCCAATTCTCACTTATTATTGCTCTCAGCTCTCATACTGTGGAGGTAGGTTTCTGCTTCTGGGCACTGAACCTTAGGGGGAAGCTGCTTGGGTTAGGCCAATAAGACCCAGAGCTAGGACTTGGTCTTCCCACACCCAGTCCAGCCTCATCAACACTGTGCGCTTGGGTCCTTGCAATAGGGCATATCAGTCGGTCACTGACCCATGGCCGTCTGCCCTGGTGGCCAGGAATTTCCCCAAATCCGACATTGCTGGACTCTGGAGTGCACTGTTTTCCCAAAGTTTATTTTTGGAGTGGGGAGGCGGCCCGGGCTACACAGTCGGCCTCACCAGGGTGCTGCTTGCTATTTTTCTGTTTACTGTGCATGCTGCTGACTTCCGGCCTGGGTGAGTGAGTGACTCAGCCCCCTCCGGGCCCCATCAATCCCAAGCTGAGAATCTTTACGAACCCTGTGTAGCATGTGACTGCCCCGCAGGCCTCGGAAGGGCAGGGGAGGTGGGGCCAGAGCCAGCCTGGAATGTTGTTCTTGGTGTTGCAGGTCTCCAGCAGAGCCATGGCCACCTCAAGAGCGGGGACCACAGCTGACCCATTTCTGTACCCCAGACTCTCAGACTGGCGCCAGCTGTGGTTCCGGATATTATGTCTAATTGACAGCCTGGCTAGACAAACACAGGGGGAGAAAGAAAAGGATAGAATGAAGAAGAGAGGGAGGAAAGCACAGAAGGAGGGAGAGGGGGCAGGAAGGAGGAGGAGGAGGAGGAGGAGGAGGAGGAGGAGGAGGAGGAGAAAGGAAAGAGGATTGAAAGAACCAAATGGCTGAGTGTTGCGGCACATATTTGTAACCCTAGCACTCAGGAGGCAGCAGTTCTCTGTGAGTTCAAGGCCAGTCTGGTTCTACATAGCAGGTTTCAGGCTAGTCAGGGCTACATAGTAAGACCTGGCCTCAAAAAGAAATAAGTACGTAAATAAGCAAACATCCGAGATGAAGGATAAGTACAGAGAACATGTAACCAGAGGTGGGGGCGTGTTCTGCAGAGAGGTCATTACCCTCCCGCCTCTGCTTGCTCCAAGGATGGATCCAAACTTTCTGGCCCCTTTTCTGGCCCTCTTACCCTCCCCTGCCGCGAGGCTTCTCAGGCTGTTCTGATTGTTTGCTGCCACCGTGTGGCCACTCTGCTCTCTGCAAGTCATGGACTGCGTTTTTCCCTGCGGTTCCTGGCTCGAGGGTACGGGGTGTTAGTGGGGCTATGGGGAGCCTTGGCAGGGTGCACATGACCCTAGCCTTTGTTATGCGCACTTCATAACTTCCCTCTTTAGTCTCAACCATCAAACTTCAGCTGAGCCATTTGGCTCAGCCTGGCCTGTGCCACTCTGTGCCCTCACATGAACTGAGCACCCACTGTGTGCTGACATTTGCCACGTGACCTTTCATTCTGTCCTTTGAAGTACAATGATTCCTATGCACCTTTGAAAAATGGAGAAACAGAGGCTCAAAGAGAAGAGATGGTTTGGCCAAGGTCCAGTTGGCAGTTGGAGAAGCTAAGCCTCAAATCCAGGCATTGAGTTACAGAGTTTGTTCATACTGAATTCTCGAAGATTATGCCAGAGTGGTGATGAAAGTCTCTAATCACAGCATTTGGAAGTGGAGGCAGGAGAAATAGGAGTTCAGGGTCATCTTTATCTACATAGTATTTTTTTTTTCCGGGAAGACAAGGTTTCTCTGTGTAGCCACAGCTGTCCCAGACTCACTTTGTAGACCAGGTTGGCCTTGAATTCACAGAGATCCACCTACCTCTGCCTCCCGAGTGCTGGGATCAAAGGTGTGCACCTCCACCGCCCTGCTCTTTCTGTTTTTTTTTAAACAGGGTTTCTCTATGTAGCTTTGGCTGTCCCGGAACACGCTGTGTAGACCAGGCTGGCCTCAAACTCAGAGATCCTCCTGCCTCTGCCTCCCGAGTGCCGGGATTAAAGGTGTGCGCCACCACTGCCTGGTGAGTACCCCTCATTTTGAGTACTCTTTAAGGAACCCCAAACCTAGAGAGAACTGCATGGCCAGCCCTGCTGACCCCTCCCTCTCTACAAGGATGGTTGTTCACTTCTCTTACAGGTCTTCACTTCCCCCTGGGGGAGGCCTGCTGTTGCCCAGAGCCCTTTTCTCGCTCCCTCCCCTGCTGGCAGAACAAGGAACTACCTCTCACTTGGGATGCTGGAACCTCCCCCTCTCCGCTCCCCCACCCCACCCCCATCCCCATTTCCCTCAGCCTGTTCAGTCTCTGCCAGGCTAAGTTTCGGTAGACCTAGGACACCAGTCTGTGCTCTGTGACCTGTGACCTACTGGAGATTCTGGGAATTTAAATTTCTCTTTATTCTTATGCTGGGTGGTGGTGGCAGCACACGCCCTTAACACCAGAACTTGGGAGGCAGAGGCCGGCACCGCCTGTTTTTTTTGGGGGGGGGGGCTTTGTTCTTGAGAATTCCATACAAGCATACAACAAATACAATCAGATCCACCCCCTTTGCCCCTCACTGAGACAGAGGGAATTCTGAGCTAACTTGTGAACTCCCAGGGGAAAGGAAGAGAGGCAAGGATGAAGTCTGCTGGGGTTTGGAAGGTTCTCGGTTGCCCTTCAGTGACTTTGGAGGAATTGGAAAAAGGGCAGTGTGTGCTAGGGGCCAAGAGCACAGGCTCTCCAATCACATAGCCTAAACTTGAATTGTGACTGTGACTTCCTGCCTGTGTGGTCTCAGGCCTGTTACTTAACTTCTCTGAGCTCTGGTTTCTACGTCCCTACGCCACAGTTGCCTGCCTTTAAGTGCTGCTTGGCTGCAGGCTGAGGGCCGATTCTCAATGATCTTGTAAGGAAGGCCCTTCTCCCCTGTCTGGCCGATGCTCTGCCTCCCTGATCTCTGTTTCCTCCCCCTGCACTAGCAAGGCAGAGAACTCTGCCCAGTGTTTGTCCCTCCTGCCCTCCTCTGATGTTCTGTCTATTGGGAACACTTTTCCTGCTGTGCATATTGAAGACTCAACTAAGAGTTACCACCAGGAAGCCTTTCTTGATTTCTCCCACCCCTGCCTTCCCCTACCAGGGCTGGTACCGTGGTCCCTCTTCAGAGCTTCCCAAGTAGATCCAAGATGGCTCCCCTTGCAGCAGTGGAAGAAGGACAGCACACAGTGCCCCTAGGGGGCCCAAGGTCTAGGTCTGTTCCCAGTGTAAAGAGTAAAGTGACTCAAGGCTGAGCAGGGCACCCTGTAAGCCCCCTTCCTGTCCCAGTTTTATTTTTGTTCAAGAATCATTCCAGACAGCACTCTTGGTTCCCACCACGAGCCATCCTGGCACACTGTCAACGTTTCATGCAGTATAGAAGGAAGGAGCAAGGGGATGGAGGCTGGGGGATGTGGTCAGCTCTGCAAAGACGTTGGATTAGAAAGAGTCTGGGGCTCCCAGATGACAAGGCCTGGCCCAGCCACCAGTAGCCCCGGCCAGTTTTCACCTGTTCATAGGGGCCACAGGATGAGAAGCCCGGCTCCAGCGGGGTCTAGATGTGGCAGGTGGCCTGCCTACAGTCCTGTTGATCTGGGTCCCTATTCTAGCCACCCTTCTCCTTGTCACTGACCCAAACTGATCAGACCTGCTTGGAGCTAGGTCTCCACGATCATTAGGGCCAAGGACTAGAGGGTTACCTGAGCCCCATTCCTACCACCCCCAGGCCCACTATCCCTTTAAATGTGCAGGTGCCAGAGAGAAGGAGCCAAAAGCTGCCACTTCTCTGGGACTGCCTTTATGGCAGGACAGCCACCACCTCCCTTATGACACCGGGCGGGGTCTGTGTGGTGTGATCCTCTCACTGACTGACCAGGTGGGAGCCCAAGAACGATTCTGGTACATCCCTGCCCCCTGCTTCTGAACACCATTTCCCCCAGAGTTCCTACTGGCTCCAGACTAAGGCTGGCTAACCCTGCTGTCTCTGTTTTAGGGGAACTTGACCTAAGTGACCTAAGAGTATTCCTAGGGTTGCATTTAGACCTGCCTGACAGCTTCAAGAGAGACTGGCCTGGAGGGACACCAGCCAACACCAGTGGATCTGGGATTTGCATTGGATACAGGGGCCTGGATCTGGGCCCCTGGGGACTTCGGGTTCTCTCAGGGATGGTCAGGGAGGCCTTCATGTGGCCCATGGGCTTGTGCTGACTCTGGTCTCCTGGCGTTTTCTTGTCCCAACTGCAGTGTGTAGAGTCTGTGTTCGGGATGGGCTAGTTCGTGTCCCTTTTTATTGGTTCACTGTTCACCACAACCTCCACTACCCCCATGGTAAAGGTGGGGTGCATTTTCCTTGTTCAAGAGATCCTCCCTGCTCCCCTAGACCCCAGGGCTCCTTCCCACGTTCATTTGCCTGAGCTGTTACTTGACACTGAGTCCATCAACCTGGATGGGAGAGGAGCATCTTGACTTCCTGGCATCCTGGGTACTGCATCTTGGTAATGTTGGCCCTGTTGGTATAGGCACCAGCCCCTCAAGACTTATTAGCAGCTGGCCTCTAGGAGAATGGCAGAAGGGGAGTTGGCCATCTCTGAAGCCCACGTCCCTTTGCAGGCTAAGGGACATACTTCCTAAGGTTCTTTAGTACACAGTTGTTCAGTCTGCTAGGTCTCTGGCCAGCTGCAGGTAGTCCTCTGTGGGGAAATTACCCTGGGTCCCCAGATGAAGAGCCACACCCCTTCTCCCATGACAGTCTGGACAGAGGATCCAAGATGGCTGACAAGGACCCCCCGGGAGGTGGGGCAGCCCCAGTGTCCACAGCTCCAGCTGACTATGGAGAGGGCATCGCTGGAGAGAACTGAGATGGTACCAGGATCCGGTGGCTCTGCTGCCCACCTGGCCTGTCTCTGCTGTTAGTTTCGCCGGACTGGATGCCACATGGACACAGGCCTGCGCAGCGTGGCCAGCATCTGGTTCCAGTGTGTAGTGCCCATGCCACTGGCCGCTGGCCCAATGATGACGTGGCCCACGTTGTCCCCACGGCCGTCACTGCTGCTCTCAGCCACTGTCACTCGGAGAGAGAGGTCCTGGGGAGAAGGTGACATGAAAGATTGGGACCAGGAGCAGCTGAAGGGTTCTCCCTGGCTCCAAAGTTCCAACCTGAGAATACCAAGCCCTGTAAGGTGTGTACAGCTCTTGGAATCTTCCCGTCTGACTTGGGATAAGACACTTGTCCTCAGAGGGACAGCCTCAGAGGGACCCAGCTCTGATGTGATCTCACTAAGTGATGAAAAGTGACAGTTCCAGCAGGATTCAAAATCTATCTCTCACTTCTTTGTCCCTCAACATTTTTTTTCCCTTGTGATTTATCTTATTTTTTGAGTTTGAAAAGATGGGTCAGCATTAAATACACTCGCTGTTCTTGCAGAGGACCCTGGTTTGATTCCCAGACCCTCTGTGGTGGCTCAGTAACTCCAGGGTATCTGAACCCTCTTCCAGCCTTTGTGGGTACCTGGCATTTATGTTATACACAGACATACTTGCAGGCAAAATACCCATACACAAAATAATATAAACTTTAAAAACATTTTATTTTAAATTATGTATGTCTGTATTGGGGAGTATGTTCATGTGAGCACAGGTACCCATAAGCAGTTGTGTAGTAAGAATTCTGGGTTTTTAGTTTCTTTAAAACACACAGAAATATAAGAACACGTTTTCATCTTAATTCCAGACATGGGGATATGGGGCTGCTTTGCAACAGGTCACCGTGATTTGCCTTGTGCTCTAGCAGGGCATGTTTTTGCCAGCTGCAGATAGTTTCTGCAACTGTGTGACATTTGGAATTCTGGGAATTTTTCAGAGGCTAAATAAATACTAGCGCTCTGATGAGAAGGTTGTTTGCAGTTTGTTAGTAGTTGTGCTCAAAGAAGAAGAAAGAAGAAAGAAATTAGATTCACAATCCTGGTATCTCTCTCCCCCTTCTAGCCTTCTTTCTAGTAATAGGAGGTGGAACTGGGTGATGAAGGGTGGGAAAAAGAAGAACCCTCGAAGTAGGTTAGGGTTAAGTAAGGGACATATTTGAGATGTTAGCTCAACTGTTCTTACCTAGTCCCCCAGCGGCTTCGTTTTTGGAGACTGAAGAGAAGTAGCATTGTGGCAAACAGGGCAAAAGCGGGGGTCAAATGGGTAGACTGTCCAGTAAGGGAAAAGGCCAGCAGCCAGACACGCTGGGATGTTGTCTGGATTCATAGATTTGGGACACCCAAAGTGAGGCTGACATCCAGCTTTCAAACTACAATGGCTGGCAGACTAGACCAGAGGTCCAGTGGTCGCCTGGCATACACAGAGCCTCAGGTCCATCAGCAGCACTGACAAACAAACATGGCTGCTGCTGGGCATGGTGGTGCACACTTGTAATCCCAGCACTCTGGGAAGCAGGCAGATCTCTGTGAGTTCAAGGCCAGTCTAGTCTACAAAGTGGGTCCAGGACGGCTGGGGAGATGGCTCAGCGATTGAAACAACTGACTGCTTTTCCAGAGAACTGGGGTTCAATTCCCAGCACTCTGATGCCCTCACACAGACATACATGAACATAAAATAAAAACAAATAATTTTTTAAAAAGGGAGAAGAAAGGGAAGTACTTAAGGGGCAATAAACACACACACACACAGAGATAGAGGAAGCAGTTTTACCAGGAGAATTTTACACAGAGAGGTTGAATGAGAGAACAAGCTAGACACAGGTAGAGACAGAATGAGAAGGAGCCAGGAGATTAGAGCAGATTGCTGGGGTTACTCTGAGGCCAAGCAGAGCAATTTAGGGGCCAAGAGAGAAGCCAGGTTGAATAAGTCAGCTGGGAGAGGAGTTTGAACCAGAATAGCTGAGCTGAACCAGCCAGCCAGAGTTCAGAAAGAACAGGAAAGGGTGACTTCATTCAGCACTGAGTCTTAGAGACTGAAAACATTCTAGGCCTGGGTTAGATGTGGAGACTAGAGTTCCAGGACGAGGCCTAGGATAGCAGACAGAGGCAGTAATCCTCTGAGACAACAATTGAAACAGGTGAATAAAAGTTCCTTTTACAGGTATTGGAGAGATGGCTCAAAGGTTAAAAACACTGGTTGCCCTTCCAAAGGTCCTGAGTTCAATTCCCAGCAACCACATGATGGCTCATGACCATCTATAGTAAGATCTGGTGTCCATTTCTGCTATGCAGGCACACATGAAGGCAGAATGCTGTATAAACAATAAATAAATCTTAAAAATCTCCTTTTACAAAAATCCCCAGGAGGTGGGCCCTGCACAGTTCCTGAGCTGTGGGGCAGACTTTAGCTCAAGAACTAAAGGGATTTTTTTTTCCTTCTCTGTGTAGCCTGGAAACCTGCTCTGCAAAACCAGACTGAGCTCATAAAGACCCACCTGACTCTGCTGCTACCACCTGGCTCTAAAGGACTTCCTTCCTCCCTTTCTTTCTTTTCTTTTCTATATATGAATGTTCTATCTGCATGTGCACCTGCATACGGAAGATGGCATTAGATCATATTATAGATGGTTATGAGGCACCATGTGGTTTCTGGGAATTAAGTTCAGGACCTCTGGAAGAGCAGCCAGTGCTCTTAATGGCTAAGCCATCTCTGCAGTCCCTCTAAGGGACTTTCTTATTGTTAGGTAGGCCTAAGGATGGAAGGAGACAGAGAGGAGGGGGTGAAATCCCCACTCTCTGACTGATATGCCTTAAACTGTATGCTCTGTGGTTCACCTCCCTGAGGTCCAGCCCCAGTAGTCTGTGACATCCCTGTGTTGGGAGGGTTCTCCCAGAGGCCCGTGGTCCTCTTGAGGTCCTAGGATGAGAAGATCCCAGCAGGGTCCTTGCAGTAGGAACTCTGAAGACTTAGTCCTACAACCCAGGGCCCTGGGGCTACCTCTGGCTCATGGTCAGTCAGAGCTCCGCTGAGCTGTCTCCTTCTGTGGAATGCCTCCCCACCCCATCTTAATGCTGGCAGCTCTGAAGCTCGCAATGCGGTTTACAAAGTGGGGACTTCCCTGCCTGTCCATCATAGGCATCAAGAAAGCAGTGTCTGGGTCCCCAGCCTCACCACAGTGCTGGCACGTAGTTTCAGGCTCAATCAACCAGAAGGGGGTTGGCTTGAGGCCCCAAGAGGCAACATTGGAGGAGAGCAGTGGCCCGGAGCCCTGTTACTATCCAGCCCAACTCACCTGCAGCACAATGGCTGGTACAGAGAAGATCATGGCTTCATTAAACACTGGGTTCGGGTCGTCCTTCTTCACGGCCGTCTTCTTCTTGCTCATCTTTCTCCCATCCTGCAGCAGGTATACTTTGACGAAAGGATCTACAGGCAGGTAGGCCGGGTGAGGGTCAGTAACGCCCTTGCTTGGCATGACCCTGTCTCCTCTGGCTCCACCCACTGCCTTCAGTTCCCTGACCCTTGGCTCTTGGCATTATCTCTAAAGTCCACTGCTTGGTATTTACTTATATTAAGAAATGGGATCTCGCAGTGTGTTCTACGTTGGTTCTAAATGCTCAGGCTGAAGGGATCCTCCTGCCTCAGACTCCCGAGTAGCTGATGAAAGTTGCAAGCTACAATGCCCGCTTGTATCAATGCCTGCAGAGTTTAAGAGAGGGTGTTAGAGAGCTGGACTTATAGGCAATTGTAAGCTGGGAACCGAACTCAGTCTGCCCGAATATGTGCCTGCTCACCAGAAGAGGGCACCAGATCTCACTATAAATGACCATGAGCCAGGATGTGGTTGCTGGGAATTGAACTCAGGACCTTTGGAAGAACAGCCAATGTTCTTAACCTCTGAGCCATCTCTCCAACCCTGTTTCTTTATTTTTGAGACAGAGTCATGCTATGTAACACGGATTGGCATTGATTTTGTAATCTTAGTTCCTCACCCTCACTGATTGCTAAAAAGCCACCACACCTGGCTTTGCTACTGGGCATTCATTGATCAATATTAAGAGACAAGGTCTCTCAGTATGTGTTTCAGGCTGGTTCTGAACTCCTAGGATTAAGGGATCTTCCTGCTTAGCCTCCTGAGTACCTGGGCCTACAAGAGCATAGCACCATGCATAGTTTCCCATGATCTTAGGATGACCTTGAATTTCTGATTCTCTACACATCCCGAGTGCCAAGATCACAGGCATGGGTTACCATGCTGTGTTTTGTGCAGTGCCATCACTGAACCCAGTGACAAGCACCCAGTCAACTGAGCTACATTCTCCAGCTCATCGATATTATTTAAAATCCATTTCACAGTTGAGAAACTGAGGCTCTCATGGCCGGTTGAGAGAGCACAGCTCCTGTCTCGGGCGGCCACTGCACTTTTCCCTCACACGGGTTCCATGAGGCAGCAGACCAGATGCTTCTCGTTCTATTAGCAACCTCAGCGCAGATGGCAGAGCTGAGGCACTGAGTGCTGACACAGCAGAGCCTAGCAGCATGCAGCCCTGAGATAGCAGGTCTCCCTACTGCCTGGGGCTCTGGGCTGTCAAGTCTGATAGGTCCCTGCATATCTAGGGTGTCAGGTCCCACATGGCACCTACCTCAAGGGGTGGGGCACTGCTCCTCATTTAAAGTCCTCTGGGTTGCTTCCCTGTCTCTGAGCTCAAGTTCTGACGAACGGATGCTGACCCTCCATTTCTTGTCTGGTGCCACAGCACAAATGTTGCCTCCTGCCCACAGGTTCCATCGCCCTCCCCTTTATCCCACTCTCCACACCCCGGGCTGCTTGTCACCCTCCAGGGTTCTGTTTCTGTAGCTGACTCAACCTTTCCACCATGCTTGGCTCCTGAGCTTAGCTGCAGCCCCACGGGCTCTGGCCCTGTGCCCCATACTTGCTCACAATCTGACAGCTCCCCCTGAGCCTAGTCCCTCACCCGCTGTGGTCTTGTCATTGGTCCAGATGAGATTCTTGGCTTTCACCACAACCACAGTCAGCCGCTCAGCTGTGGGCAGGTAACTGAGGGACAGCAGGATCTCTCCCACAGCATCGGCGGCCTGTGAAAAGAGGGATGGCTCAGGAGTCCCCTGCCCTCCAGGCTTCAAGGGGCCCAGGGAAAGGTGGACACTCCCTTCTCCACTGACAACACGCTGCTCTTAAACCTAGACATCAGGCTGACAGGATGGAGAAAAGGACAACCCATCCACCCACCCCTGCCATACAAGGGAGCATGCTCAGACACTCCGTTACCCTAAATGTGGGGACACCATGCCCTGGAAGGAGGCCCAGAGGTCACCTGTCAGGTGCTTCAATCAGATGCGGTTTTGTTCCCCAATTCTGAGCCAAGGAAAACATTCTATGACTAGTGCATAGAGATCCAACCTGACAGCATTTGCTTAAGCAATAATGTTCCCCGGAACCATTACAATGATAAAAGTAAGTGTCAGCTTGGCCTGTCTGAAATAACCCGCTTTGGGGCCAGAGCTGGGCACCCCTAACGGCAGCTTAGAGGAGCAGAGCCTCCAATGATTCGGTAGTAAGTACTGAGACACTGGGCTGGAGAGAAGGCTCAGAGTCCTGGGGGCTTTTCCAGAGGGCTCAGGTTCAGTTCCCAGCACCCATATGGCAGCTCACAAACATCGGTAACCCAGTTCCAAGGAAGTGGACACCCTCTTCTGACTCCCGTAAGCATGAGATGTGCACATGGTACACATACGTACATTCAGGCAAAACACGCATAGAAAAGCAAACAAAGTATAGAGTAAAAATACGTAGCTGGGAGGTGGTGGCACACACCTCTAATCCTAGCACACTCAGGAGGTCCTAGGCCAGCCTGGTCTACAGAATGAGTTCTAGGATATCCAGAGCTACACAGAAAAAGCCTGTCTCAGAAAACCCAAAATAAGCAAAAAATAAAGAAGGAAGTAAAATAAATAAACACTAAAAAAATAAAAAAATAATAAGGACTGTGAAGAGGGCTAGAGAGGTGGCTCAGTGGGTAAAAGCATTTGCCATTAACCCCAGTGACCTGAGTTTGATACCCACAACACACAGGGTGAGGAAGAGAACCAGCTTGTAGAAGACAAGTGGCCTTCTGACTTCCACATGCATTCCCTCTGTATATGCATGCCTGCACACACATGAGCACAGAAAACACAATCGGTAAATAAATAAATAAAATAAAAAAGAGCTGTAAACAGTGGTGTCTATAGAATGCATTTGTCACCTCATTCGATGAGTCACTTCCCTAGAGTGTGGCTTGGAACAGAGAAACTGCTCTCCTAATGCTGTTGGGATCCGGGTTAAGGGACAGGACAGGGGTATTTTCTCCTCTGGTGAACCCATAGGCCGAAGCAGTTGGTACCTTATTCTGGTCCTGTAAGTAGAGCCAGCCACTGAAGGGCTGCAGCGGGAGGTCCAGAACGGACAGCTTCAGCTCCACCACCCCGGTGCTCACATTCCGCTCATCCTCGTCGATGCCAAACACAGAAAACCTAAGGCTCTTCTCCTCCAAGGCTGTGGGATCCAGGGGGACAGAGAACTTCTCATCGAAGAAGATGGAATAGGCGTTCCTCTGGATCTATAGAGAGAAGGGGTCGTGGAGGGGCGTCCTGGTACCCACTGCCTCATCTGGTCCTCTTTTTGTGGCTCAGCCTTGAAGGCTTGTTTATTTAATTTTTGTTTGTTTGTTTGTTTTGTTACTGGATCTCCCAGTGCTCAGGATGAGCTCCTGCTCTTCCTGCCACTAACTCAAAAAACACTAGCATTACAAGGTTGAGCCTCCACACTGCATCTCCCCCTCTTTTCTTCTTCCAAGACAGGGTCTCCCTACGGAGCTCTGGCTGTCCTGGAGCCCACTGTTTTGCCCAGACTAGCCTTGAATTCACAGCCATCTTCTTGTCTAGGCCTCCAGAGCACCAGGATTACAGTATGAGTTGACCACGCCTGGTAGTCCTGAAAGTCTTTGGTTGGTGTTGTTGTTTGATTGGTTTTGAGACAGGACCTCATGTAGTCCGAGACGGTCTCAAATTCATTACGTAGCCGAGGATAACCTTGCGTTCCTGAGCTTGCTGCCTCCATTTCTCAAAGGTTGAGGTTACCGTGAAGGTTTAAAAGCTTCAGTGTCCCCTCCTAGGTTATGGTCAACTCACTGGCCTGGCATTAGAAGCTTCCATAGTGAAATCCTAGAAATCCTCCTCTTTGTTCCTCCTCACTAGATCCTGTAGCCGAGCAGCAACCATCTCTCCTGTCTGTACGACTTAGCACAGCCCTGGGGCAGGCATGCATTGGGAGCCAGACAATTGTGTGTGAACAACCATTAATACCACAGCGCCCTGCAGAGCCTTTCTGGATTTTCAGGGTTGGATGGATGGATGGGTGAACGGATAGACAGATGGATAAAGTGACTAGGCAGGGCTGGACGTGCCTCACTCCCCAGATCACTCCAGCTTTTTGGATGCCATTGGCCTCCTTCCAGGAAGCTGTGGGCATGTGAGGCTCCACTTGCCCTTCTGTGGGGGGCCATCTGAGTCACTGTGCAGCGGCATTTAGAGAGCAGCTCTCATCCCCAGCAGGCACCTTCCCTGAGGTTGAGGGGGTTGCTTGTCCTGGAAGCAACACCCCATGCCCACAGTTAGACTGTTAGGGAATGATGTCATGAAGCCTGTCTTCCTAGGGATAAATCCTACTATCCGCAAGCTACATTGATCTCACTCTTCTGTGTCTGCCAGGCTCTGGGAAGGTTCTTCCTGTAGCCACTGTACCCCAATATGAAAAACTGGAGCCATGTTGCCCACACAGTGCTCTGCCTCAGACCAAGCTTCTATCTACCATTGTCCCTCCTCAAGGGACATGTCCTGAGTCACCCACACGGCTCAGGCCAAGAGCAACATAATGTGTATCAGGCTTGATGGCAGCTCTTCATGGTCTAGAAAACTGTTCCCGTTCCTA